GGAAGAAGGTCAGAGGGAGAAGCAGACTCCCCGCCAAGCAGGGAGCCCGATGCGGGACTCGATCCCGGGACTACAGGATTATGACCTGAGCCGAAGGCAGTCGCCCAACCGACTGAGCCACCCAGGTGCCCCAAAGTCATTTTGGTTTTAAAAATATCTTTAATTTATACTATTCTTTAGACATTTTAATTCATTTTTCTCACCATAATGACCCTCTCAAGTAGGTTGGATAGATCTTCCTAATCTTCATTCTACAGATAAGGAAACTTGAAGGCTTCCAGTATATCTGTCCTACTTCCTCTCCAATCATACTTCTCTCTAAGAAGTCATCCTGATCTCCCAAGCCCACAGAGGCAGCCCTATGTCCCCAGTGAGCTCAACCATCTGCCTAGCCCTTACGTGTGATTGAACCAAGAGTGGACATTTGGCCAAAGTTGACCAAATTTCTTCTCCCGTTGAGTGCGAGGACCCCCATGTGCCTGAGGTCCTGCCACGCTATAGTGGGAGAATGGAATCAGAGTAATTGTGAGATTGTGCAAGAAGTTCCTCTAGACCTGATCCTGGCAGAGCAGATCGAGGTTTGTACATTCACATAATGAGGCTTATACAATATAGGGGCCTTCATTAAGAAAAAATATTTTTTTAAAAAATTATATAATTTTGCACATCTCATCACTGGAGGAATTTTTCAGACTCTTGGAATCATGCATTTCAAATCTTATTTCTTCTTTTTTACTTCCCACATAACTACAGAGCTGGCCACATTCATGGACACCTTCATGTTAGGATTTGCCCTCTGGGCCTGCACCACCCTGTCAGGATGCCAAACAATTCTGTGGCCATTCTCACACGAAGCCAGCAATAACCTCACTACTAGAAAAAAAAATCCAACACTTGGAGATTGATGATTTCGTGATATTTTTAGTATCATACCAGAGTATACGCTGGCTCACAGACATCTGCCTCTCTTGGGTATTGTAACTTTTTCTGAGTTACTATCTATGAGTGAGAAGCCCCAAACAGTTTGCAACCCTGAAAAGTTACAGGTTAACTTTAAGGAGGAATCAGGTGTTGCTTCCTGCTTGACAGCAAGGATACTCCAAAGGTTATGTTTTTATTAATCGGTAGGATATTACTCAGTTTTAGACATAGTTTAGCAATCTTATTTCATTCCCTCTTTCCCTGCTTACGCTCTACACTCCAGTTACTCAACTCCTTTTTTTTTTTTTTAAAGATTTTATTTATTCATTCGACAGAGAGAGAGAGACAGTGAGAGAGGGAACACAAGCAGGGGGAGTGGGAGAGGGAGAAGCAGACTCCCCGCCGAGCAGGGAGCCTGCTGCGGGGCTCGATCCCAGGACCCTGGTATCATGACCTGAGCTGAAGGCAGACGCCTAACGACTGAGCCACCCAGGTGCCGCCCCCTTTTTTTTTTACTCAAATCCTTTCTTAAGCAGCTCCACCATTTCGCTGGTTCCTTCACTGATGAGTTAAACAAAACTTTGTCCCATGTTCACTACTTGTATGGGAATTATGTTCTTACTCATGTGAGAATTGAATTTAAAGTCCCTGAGGAACACACACATTACATGTATCCCCAAATCAACTTCTTAGTGACAGATTCCCCCAGTGCCACCTGACCCAAGTGGAAACAGGACAAATGGATGTTAGAGGAGGGAAAAGAGGGCAGTCTTTATCAAATACAGTTCAATGCAAAATTTATTTAAAAAAATGGCCAGGTAACATGTGCTGGGTCCTCTCAGGACCTTGGCTGGTCTGATGAAGTGAGGGGAACTAGATAAATTGAATGAGATTTCCCCCCTCTAACTTACCTAACCTCAACTATTACATATTAAATTACTCTTTCTTCATCACGGCTCCATATTAATTATGTGGTTTTAAAAGTTGTCTTCAGGGCGCCTGGGTGGCTCAGTTGGTTAAGCGACTGCCTTCGGCTCAGGTCATGATCCTGGAGTCCCGGGATCGAGTCCCACATCAGGCTCCCTGCTGAGCGGGGAGTCTGCTTCTCCCTCTGACCCTCTCCCGTCTTGTGCTGTTTCTCTCTTGCTTGCTCTCTAATAAATAAATAAAATCTTAAAAAAAAATAAATAAAAGTTGTCTTCATACTATAAGCAATCTTCAAACATTCAGGGCAGTGCACTTTGGGGAAATCCTTTTATTAAAAGGCATTCTTATTCATTTCTTTGTGACTTGAATTAATGTATTTCCTTTCCTTGGAACTCTCTTTTCCCCATTTCACCCTACACAGCCCATCTGAGAAGCCACCTCTTCTCTATAGATATCTCTGACCTACTCCTATCTAAGGCAGAATAAATTAGCCCCTCATTTATGCTCCCACTGGTTTTTTACCTCCCTCTCTCATAGTACTTATTTCATCCATCGCAATTTATATCTTTTTCTCCAACCAGGGTCAATGGAAACACTAGGGAGAAACTGTTCAGTAATATCAAGAGATATCAGGGAATGCTTCACAGAGAAGATCGTGTCCTGCAAATGCAGAGGCCTTGAATTCTTTCATCCTATAAACATTTTCTGAGTATTTACCATGTACCCCAGGAATATGCAGTTGAAGGAAGATATTCCCACCCTTTTAAGTCACTAGGTAGTGCTTTATGTAACATTGGTTATCAACACACATTTGTTGAAAAGCCATATTCAACACAAGAGTAACATGAAAGAAAATGAATGGCAACACATACCTTATTTTCTTTCTCTTTCTTTCTTTCTTTCTTTCTTTCTTCTTTCTTCTATTTTTTCTTTCTTTCTTGTGTGAACAGGTAGTTTTTATTAAAGCATAGGGACAGGACCCATGGGCAGAAAGGCTGCCGCACACCTTATTTTCTTGAGTGGTGAGTAGACTGCTGAATAATTTTAGCTTGCCACCCCCCTTTTTAAAGCAATCTCTACACCCAATGACCCCGAGATCAAGAGTTGCATGCCCTACAGACTGAGAGAGCCAGGCATTCTAGCTTGCCCTTATACTGCAGCTTGTCTTGGTTAGGTAGATTAGAAGACTGTGCTGGCACGATTCTTTCCTGTCCAGGGTTTTCCTTACTCTGGAGTATGTAGATAGCTAAAGATTAATGGTTTCTGACAGTATTGCTTTGGCAGCATTTTATACTCCTTTTAAATCCATTAACTTTTTTTAAATATCATGAGAAAATGTGTGACAAGTGGTGTGATCTAATCAGGAGCATGTACTGTCTGATGTTAGGAGGGACTGACAAACTAAAGATCTAATGAAGACAGATTTGACTCTTCTGTTTTATTTTTCTACAAATTTTCCTTTTTGGTGGCTTTTAAATGGCTTTTGTACTCAATAGGAACAGGAGAAAAAACCAGACTTTCAGTAATGATCCAACCAACAATCATTTCTTGAAGGCAGACAATGTGCCCAACACTGTTAAGTAGGGTAATATTTATCAGGGTGGGTCATCAGTAAACATTTACTGATCATAGTTTTTCTCTGTCTCTTTATGAAATATTACAGAATCAATACACACTGAACTGTGTGACTCTGACAAGTATAAAAGCTACTTGAGGAAGAGCAAGATTAGAGTAAGGATTCGAGTGCTAGAGGAGGTTTGTTTGTTCAAATAAGTTTATTGGGCACCTTCTGGATTTCAGGCACCATAGCTGGGACATAATTTTAAAATTCTCTGGTCCTTACCCTCAAGGAATTCACAGCCTAGAGGATATATATATATATATATATATATGAAATTATCAATTACATTGGATGTAATAAATAATAGCAATATAACTATGAATGATGTGCTGCAGGAGCCCAGAGGAAGGATCCCCTGCCTAGGGAATAAGAGATTTCTCAGGACATGTGACATTTGAGCTGGATCTTGAAGAATGAGTTAGAGAAGAGAGAATAGGTATTCCAAAAAGAAAATAATAAAAAGCATACAAAACACTTTTTATAAGGAGGGAGACAACTTTCCTCCTGGTTATTCTTCTGGGCACATTACATTTTAAATGGTCATGATGGTCCACATGTATTCAAGATTGAATGCTTCTCAGCTGCCACAGAGAGGAGCAGAGCTGCCCAGGAGATCCCAGTCTAGATCTGCTGATCTACAGACCCATGAGGAATCATAAATGACTACATTTGTTCTATAGTTGTTCAAAATTGTAGAAGTTGGGGTGGTTTGTTATGCAGACATCGTTGACAAATACAGAGGTATTATCATCCAGTTATGTATGGGGTCAATGAAAGGGCATAGGAAAAGAGGAATGGAGTCAGTTGTTTTTTCCAACAGCCCAAGAGAGTAGACATAGGAGAAAAATCATCAAGTTTTAATTTTAGGGGTGCCTGGCTGGCTTAGTCGGTGGAGCACGGCTCTGGATCTCGGGGTTGTGAGTTTGAGCCCCATGTTGGGTGTAGAGATTACTTAAAAATAAAAACTCTTTTTGGGGCACCACCTGGGTGGCTCAGTCGGTTAAGCGTCTGCCTTCGGCTCAGGTCATGATCCCAGGCTCCCTGCTCAGCAGGGAGCCTGTTTCTCCCTCTCCCTCTGCCTGCCTGTCTGGCTACTTGTGATCTCTCTCTCTCTGTCAAATAAATAAATAATCTAAAAACAAAAAAACAAAACTCTTTTTAAAAAGTTAATTTCAACTAGTTAAAAAGTGATTGAGATGTAACCTTGCACTTCTACCCATTTAACTTTCTAATCTCTACTTGATGTCTTTTAGGCATCTCAAAGTTGGTATATCTCAGATTGAATGCTTGATTTTCAATCCTTTCCAATCTTCTTCCTCCATAGTCTTTTCCACCTGTAATGGTACCTCCATCCTCCAATTGATCATACCAGGAACCTGGTAAATATTTGGGGGTGGGGGAGTGCCACAATTTATTTATGACAAATATTCCACGTCTGTGACCCTCCCCATTCAGAAGTTCTTTGAGATAATGCTGTCAGCCTTGGCCAGATAAGTCATCCGACTCGCCTCTTCTGAAAATGGCTCTGCAGATAACATAGATTTTAAACTGCCTGTTGACCTGCCTGTCATCTTGTCAACCTCAGCCATGTTTATCTGGTTGGACACGATGATGCAGTTGCCAGCAAAGTGTTTGCAGCAGGTACAGGCCCAGGAACTTGCCTGTGTCATTCTGCAGGTTGAGGCCACACCTGGAGCCACCACCATGAGCACACGTGCGCAAGGCTGGGAAATAGTCCTGAATCCTCCTTATCACCCCTTACAATCAACTGTATCATTATGAAATTCATCTGGACTCTGTGCGCGTCATTGCACCTCCACGGCTGTCACAAAATCTAGGCCACTATCGTACCTCTTCTGACTTACTGAAATGGCCTTCTAAATGGTCAGTTTGCTTCCACTCTCTGGCTTCCAATTCATTCTCCACAAAATAGCCAGAGTGGGATGCCTGGGTGGCTCAGTCGGTTGAGCGTCTGCCTTCAGCTCAGGTCATGATCCCAGGACCCTGAAATCGAGTTCCGTATTGGGCTCCTTGCTCAACAGGGAGCCTGCTTCTCTCTCTGCCTGCCTCTCTCTCTCTCTCTCTCATTCTCTCTGACAAATAAATAAAATCTTAAAAACAAAACAAAACAAAAACAACAACAACCAGCCAGAGTGGTTGTCTCAGGTCCGGTTCCCTAAGCCAGATCGTTAGGAAGATTTAGGTGCAAGTGATCTTCCTAGGAGAAGCTGGTAAGGGAGAGGGGAAGCAGGACTGGGAGGAAAACAGGCAGTAGTGCAATTTCGGTTCAAGTCCTAGGACAGTAGCCTGATACCTGAGGGGAACTCTGGAGTATAAATTATACCCCATTTGTTCTAACTTGAGGCAAGGAAGCTGACATTTATTTATTTACAGATTTACTTTTTTTAAAGCTTATTATGTTTTAAGTAATCTCTACACCCAAAGTGGGGCTCGAACTCATGACCCCGAGATTAAGAGTTGCATGCTCTACCTTGCCCTTCACTCTCCCTCTGCTCCAGCTATACTATTTGCTGTTCCTTGAATATTCCAAGATGCTCCTACCTTCAAGTCTTTGCTCAAAATGTCACCTTCTCAAGGAAGCCTTCTCTGACCCCCTATTTTAAATTCATCTCCCCAGCAATCTCTATTCATTTCCTCTGCCATTTTATTTTGTTAATAAAACATTTGTTATCATCTGAAAAAAAAAGAGTAGAGTTCTTTCTTTCTTTCTTTTTCTTTCTTTCTTTCTTTTCTTTCTTTCTTTCTTTCTTTCTTTCTTTCTTTCTTTCTTTCTTTCTTTCTTTAAAGATTTTATTTATTTATTTGAGAGAGAGAGAGCACAGAGGGAGAGTGCAAAGGAGAAGCAGACTCCCCGCTGAGCGGGGAGCCTGACGTGGGGCTCGATCCCAGGACCCTGAGATCATGACCTGAGCCAAAGGCAGACGTTCAACCCACTGAGCCACCCAGGTGCCCCTAGAGTGCTCTTTCAACTGAGCTAGCCAGGTACCCCTAGGAAGCTGACTTTTATACATCCATACTGTTTAGTCATTGACAAAATGCTACCTAGGGGAATGTAAACTCTAAGATACTTCCAACTCTCTGTGCATGTGGGCAAAGCTGCTCTAGTAGCCCTCAGTTAGCTAAAATGGCTTATCTGGGTCTGGAGGATTCTCCTTCAAAACAGTTCACCCACAAGCCTAGCAAGACTAGGTTGATGCTGTCAGCCAGTGGGTGGGGACGGGGGAAATTGTGGTTTCTCTCCAGGTGGGCCTCTTCATGGGGTTGCTTCCTCTTCACAGGATGGCGCCTGGATTCCAAGAGTGGGAGTTCCAAGAGACATGAAGTTGAAGCTACTAGTTTCTTAACACTTGGGCCCAAAACTGACACTTTGGTATTACATTCATTGGTAAAAATCATGAAACTCATTCAGACTCGAAAGGAGAAGACATAGACCCCACTTATAGATGGGAGTGTCAAAGAATTTGTGCATCTTAAGCTCCCCCCAACCCACCCACCCCCACCCCAGGTGCAAAAAGGTGGTTGTATTAAAGTACTGGGACAGGACCTGTGGACAGAAAGAACTGCCTGTGCATCTTAGTGCATCTTAATCTGTCATAATCTTCCTTCTGGCCACAAACTGTCTACATTCCTTTTACATGTAAAATACAATAATCTTCTCCCAAGACCTCTAAATATTTCATCCTATTTTGAGCGTCAGGCTCAACCTAGAATGCAGGATAACTTTTGGTCACTTATAGGGGCGCCTGGGTGGCTCAGTCGGTTAGGCATCTGCCTTTGGCTCAGGTCATGATCTCAGGGTCCTGGGATTGAGACCCACATTGGGCTCCCTACTCGGTGGGGAGTCTGCTGCTCCCTCTCCCTCTGCTACTCTCTGTCAAGTAAATAAATAAAATCTTTAAAACAAACAAACAAACTTTTGGTCACTTATTGCATGGCAGACATGTGAAAGAGGACCTCAATTGTCTCCATTTTGACCTGTCTGTACTTTAGAATTGAGTTCTTTCCAGCTTACCTCTTAACTCAGTCAAAAGACCCTGCGTGCAAAGCATTCCTTGGTGGGTACTGAAACTACCCCTCAAGTAAGAAGGACTGCCCTGAGTCAGCAAGACCCTGAGTGATTGATCCCAAGACAGTGATCAACCTGACCCTTTTTGCCTACCTACATGTACGCCTGACCTTTGTTCCGCATTTTCCTTATATAAACCCAGACGTATTTTCAGCACTTTGGAGACAGTCTTTTGAGAAATTAGTCCACTGTCTTCTTAGTGTTGACCTCACTAAAGTAAATTCCTTTCTTGTTTTACCACCGCTTGTCTCTCTGCCTTTGGATTTTGTCAGTGGCCAGTGGCTGAACCTGGTCTGTTTGGGACCCTCAGAGCCAGGTGCTCTCGAACCCCTGCGCCCCTGTTACATACCTACAACTCCTGGACTGGAAGAGCCACAAGAAAGACCTTTATCTGTCTTTTTCACTCAAACCAGTACTTGGTCCATAATAGGTACACTGTATACAGTTATTGAATGGGTAATCTTTTTTCTTTTTTAAGATTTTATTTTTAAGTAACCTCTATACCCAGTGTGGGGCTCGAACTTATAACCCCGAGATCAAGAGTCACATGCTCCACCAACTGAGCCAACCAGGGGTTCCTTGAATGGGTAATCTTTTTTTTTTAATATTTTATTTATTTATTTGAGAGAGAGAGAGAGCACAAACAAGGGGTAGGGGCAGAGGGAGAGGGAGAAGCAGACTCCCCACTGAGCAGGGAGCCTGATGCCGGGCTCAATCCCAGAATCCTGAGATTATGATCTGAGCCGAAGGCAGACACCATGTTCCACCAACTGAGCCACCCAGGCATCCTTTGAATGGGTAATCTTTTTTTTTTTTTTTAATTTAGCTCCTCAGTTGCACCAGCTATATTTCAAATGCTCAATAGCAGCAGGTGGCTACTGGCTACCATTTGGGACAGCACATTTTTTTTTAGATTTTATTTATTTATTTGTCAGAGAGAGAGAGCACAAGCAGGGGGAGTGGCAGGCAGAAGAAGAAGAAGGCTCCCTGCTGAGCAAGGAGCCTGATGCTGGACTTGATCCTGGGATCCTGGGATCATGACCTGAGCTGAAGGCAGACGCTTAACCAACTGAGCCACCCAGGTGTCCCTGAATGGGTAATCTTATTTTTCACTTTTCAACTGAAAAAATTGACACTCAGAGAGGGTAAGTAAATTTCCAAAGGTTAGAGAGTAATAGACAAATCAATATTAATTTTTTTTACTATAAAGAAAATCAGTATAATCATGTAGAAAGTTGAGAACATAATCTATGTGTGTATCTTTTTCTCTGTCACATACATGAAAGCACACACACAAACTTGTTTAGAAATTATTATGGAAACCCTTATTATAGATTTGCATGAATCCACCCAGAGACCTCCTCTTAGTTGGCCAAAGTCCAAGACTTTATTTTACAATAATAAGCAACAGACAAAAGGCATAAAATATAATAATTCTTTAACTTATCCAAGAAATGTTTAGTGAGGGCCTGCAATATACCAGGCAGCCAGTGTTCTGGACACTGGAGATACAACGGCTAACAAAACCGAGTCCCTTGTAGCTAATGTTTTAGGGGGAGGAAACAGACAATAAGCAAATGAACAAATACGTAGGTTTTCAGATGACAGTAAGGGCTAAGGCAAAAAATAATGCAGGGTAGGGGTGTTTGGGTGGCTCTGCCTTCGGCTCAGGTCATGATCCCGGGGTCCTGGGATCGAGTCCCACATCGGGCTCCCTGCTCAGCGGGGAGTCTGCTTCTCTCCCCCCGCCCCATGCTCTCTCTCACTAATAAATAAAATCTTAAAAAAAATAATGCAAGGTAAAGAGAGAAGTATGGTGGGTGGGGATAGGTCTCTTTGTTTGACTTAAACTCATTTGGAAAGTGTAGAGCATGGTGTCGGTGGGACTTAGAATCTAGGGGCAGAAAGTAAGATTAGGCACGATGAGAAAACAAGGTGACAAAGGGTAAGCAGGAGTACTGGCCCCTGGAAGGAACAGATGCAACTGACAGCTTGAAGAGGTCAAGATTTGGTGATGGTCCAAATGCGGGAAGGGTGGAAATAGATAGAGCCAAGGGTGATTTTCACACCGAAAGAGTAGGAGACCAGGAAAATGATGAAATAAGCACATTTGGAAAGGGAGATGGACGTGAGAATTCAAGCTCATAAATGAGGCAGCTAGCAGCTTAAGGCAAAAACTCTTAAGTCCAGGGATCCTGTACAGAAGATTTGTTAACTTTTTTTAAAAAAAGATTTTATTTATTTATTTGAGATAGAGAGATACGGAGAGAGAGAGAGCATGAGCAGGGGAGCAGGGGAAGGGCAGAGGGTGAGGGAGAAGCAGACTCCTTGCTGAGCAGGGAGCCCGATTCAGGGCTCAATCATGACCTGAGCCGAAGGTAGACACTTAATGGACTGAGCCACCTAGGCGCCCCCATTTATTAACTTCTAAAAAATTTCTTTAAATATTTTTAAATTGTAGTAAAATATACATAACACTTACTTTTTTTTCCCCAGGTGTGTGTATAAGATACTGATTTGACAAGTCTATATGTTATGCTAAAACTTCCCATTTTAGGTGTATAGTTCAGTGGCATTAAGTACATTCACACTGTTGTGCAACCATCACCACCATCCATCCATAGAACTCTTCCATCATCCCAAACTGAGCTCTGTACTCATTAACCATTAACACCCAATTCCTTCCCCCACCCCAAGCCCCTGGCAACCACCATTCTATTTTGTCTCCATGAATTTGACTACTTTAAGTATCTCATATAAATGGAATCATACTGAAGGGCAGGAAAAATAATCTTCTCTCTACCCTTCTGAGTTTTTGGCTGAGACCCCTGTATTAAAAGACATATTAACAAGAGAAAAACAGAGTTTATTAACATGTATACCTCATATAACAGGGGAGATACTTGGGAAGAATGAATAAATCCCAGAGGAAGCCCAAGCCACCACTTTAAATACCATCTTCAGTATAAACAAAGGAAGATGTTGGGGTGGGGGTGTTGGGGGAGGCCAGTTATGGGAGGTTACCAGGAAAAGCGCAGTAAACAAGGGTAAGGTTTGTTTTGCACATTTAAATCAGTGTGTCTTCTCCATTTATAAGATTTCCTGTGATTTGGTCATCTTTCTTTGGCTGGTATAAAGAGGGAGACACCATTACAGATGCAGATTTCCTTTCTAAATGTAAATTTCCCTTACAAAAAGGTAACTTCTATTGTGTTTTCAGAGCTTCTCCTCTGTCTTCTGTTTCTGGAAATAATCATTTCAAAACAACCCTGATGCCCAAGAGGCATACTTTGCGGTAGCATATTCTACTACCCATGTTCTTGCCTTTGAAACGTCTTCAATTTTCATATCCTGAAGCTCAGCTGGTAGCTTTTTCCATATCTCATTGAACCAGTCCTTAATCCTGAAACTAGGTCAATTAAGTTAAAGAGCTGTACCTCATTTCAGAAGGTGGTGTTTCAGGTGAGCTTCCAAAGTTAGGCCTAAATGGTGCAATCAATAGGGATTTAATAAGAGGCATTTCTAGAGGCACCTGGGTGGCTCAATCAGTTAAGCATACGACTCTTGGTTTTTGCTCAGGTGGTGATCTCAGGGTCCTGAAATGGAGCCCCGAGTAGGGGCTGCACTCAGAGTCTGCTTGAGGTCATCTCTCCCTCTCCCTCTGCCCCTTCTGCTTGTGCTCGCACTCTCCCTCTCAAATAAATAAATAAATCTTAAAAAAAAATATTAAGAGACATCTATGGAAACAAAGGAAAAACAAAAGTTAATGGAACAGACTATAAACTGAGTTTTTGGGTCCAGAGGGCAGTTAGTCGAGAAGATTTCTAGATGTTGGGCTTGAAGCATCTTCAGAGTGAGGAGAGGCAGTGGTAATCATAGATTCTCCTGGGTTGCAGTTTGAATGTCTCTGGTGATGTCATCAGGTGTCTGGTGTTCCAGTGAACTTTCTGGTTTGGCCCACATAACAAGGCATGAAGGCTGTCCATACATGAGCTGTTGTGATTTCTGTGGCGTTTACATCAAGTCATCCAACTTCAGCTTTCAGGGTTTTGGGAAAACGACAGTTTTTGTTCTTATTGATCCCATGTCAGAAGGGTGGGAGAAAATTGAAAATCTCCATATCTATTGGAGAAAACTAGAAGATTTGAAGATCCAGTCCACTTTGCAGGTAGATAACAAAACCTCAGACAATGAAGAGTACTAAAATTTGATATCCCCCAAAGTATGCTACTGAAAATTATTTTTCCTCCTCTCCCTGCCCCCTTACAGTATTTGTCCTTTTTGTGACTGGCTTATCACTTAGCATAATGTCTTCAGGTTTCAACCATATTGGAGCATGTTAGAATTTCATTCCTTTTAAAGGATGAACAATATTTCATTGTATGTATACACAACTTTTACCTATTGATGGACATGTGGATTGTTGCTACCTTTTGCTGTTCTGAATGTAACTGCTGTGAACACTGGTGTGCAAATATCTGTTCAAGTCTCTGCTTTCAATTCTTTTGCATATATACTGTTAATAGATAAACTGAAGCATATCGAAATTTTTAAGAATTGGAGCAACCATCAGTTTGGATCTGGTAGATCCTAACCACTGCCAGGAACTAGAGGAAAGACTTCTATACGGAAGACGCCAAGCAAAGCAAGGAAATTATTTGATTGGTTACTGCTTCACCAGGTACCTTATTTGGGAAAGCCTAGGTGGCTGTTTGCCATTGTATATTCTTAGGTCCCCATGTTTTAACCTTGAGGCATCTACAGGCTTAGGTTTGGGTTTGCTTATGTAGGCTGCCCAGGCATTAGGGACACCTCAGTCTAATGGCCTTCTTTGTTTAATGAATTTAAAAATAGCCAGAAGTGGAATTCACTTAACTCTTAAGATTGTGTTTAAATTATATATCCTGTAATAAGGAATATGCTCCTCTAATGAAGACAATCTACTAAAACTGCAGTTTCCCCAGGCCAATAGGAACGTCTCAGTGAAGCTTGAGTTGTATGTTTTTTTAAAATGTTTTATTTATTTATTCATGAGAGTCAGAGAGAGAGAGAGAGAGAGAGGGGCAGAGGGAGAAGCAGGCTCCCCACCTAGCAGGGAGCCCGATGCGGGACTCGATCCCAGGACCCTGGGATCATGACCTGAGCCGAAGGCAGACGCTTAACCATCTGAGCCACCCAGGCGCCCCTGCACTTTTTTTTTTTTTTTTTACCACGAGACCAGACCGCTCAAAACACCAAAGACAAGAACTGTGTAATCTATTTTTGTGACATTCCAAAGCTGTTAATACTGTCCTTTGCATATTGTGGTATTAAGTATTTGAAAGTACAGTTCTAACATATAATTTACGGTATACTAGCGGATTATTAATTCATTAACAAACACCAGCTTTTGAGTCTCTTATAATGGACTAAAAAGATATTTTTCCCAAAGAAAGCAGCTTCGCATCTTCTCTTCCCCTCCTTAAACTCCTCCACCACATACAATAAAGAAATAACTGATTATAAAGTGTCAAGTTGGATGTCTGGCAGGGGCAGGACATGATACAGTAACTTTTCTAAGAGATCACACAGTTGCACCCCCAGCATGCAGAAATTACCAGTTGGAGGGCTGGGGGCTGAAAGAACGTTCTTCTGAGCTCAGGTGTTACTGCACCGACTTTATCCAGCCCAGAGGGTCCTCAAGGCCCCTGTGGATTGTTCCTAGGATCCGAGAGACGGCGGATTAGGACACAGGCCGGCCGCCGGCTCGCGCTCAGCCTGGCCGCTGGCCTTGCTGCCTTCCACTGCCCGGGACCGTTTTCTGTTCTTTGTGCGAACCGGAGAGCCAGGAACGCAACAGCCGCCGGAGCCGGCCGCCCTGCTCGCGGCCCGCAGACGCACCTGGCGCGGCGCCGCCTCGGTCCAACAGTCTCGGCCCCCGGCGAGCCAGGCCGGGTCGCAGCCGCGCGCCAGAGGGGGACGTGGTGGGGACAATGGTCTCCTCCAAGGTTCGGAGGGACTCCTCCAAAGTGGTTTCGGGGCATGCGCCACAGCGGGCGTTAAGAGACGCAAAACCGACGCCTTGCAGCCTGGAGCCTGGAGGCACTGGGCTGTCGGGCTGAAGACTAGGGCGGACGGCGGGAGCGCCCGCAGCGCAGGTGTGGGCGTCTCAGGTGTGGCCGCGGGCGGGTAACGTCACGCAGCGAGGTGGTGCGTGCGGGGGCGTCAGGGGCGGGGCCTGAATTAAATACAGTGGTGGCTGCGGGCCAGCCCCCTAGTGTTCGCTACGCTTTGCCTTCCCCGCTGGTGTGCTCCTTCGGGGGTAAGACGTGCTGGGACCGGGTACTCATGCGCTATGAGAACTCTGACATTAGGTCGCTTTGGGTGGGGGGGGGGCGGTGAGATACGACTTAGTAACTCCTCTAAGTTGGTGATTGACATGTGTACATTTTAGGCTGAGAACCAAAATTTAAATTCAAGTCCATCAGTGAAAGGGATATCGGAAGTGTTTTTAGCTTCTCAGTTACTTCGGGCATTTTTTTTTTTTCTTCTTGAAATTTCATTTTGATCATGGATGAGGAAGTGATTGGAAAGCAATTTGGGGGTGCCTGTTGTCTCATGGGGTAGAGCATGCGATTCTTGATCTCATGGTCATGAATTAAAGTCCGACGTTGGTGGTGGAGCCTGATTTAAAAAATGATGAAGCAGATAATAAACTTGAGAGAGGGCTTTGATGAAATAGTCGTAATTCATAGGATTGTTCAGATTGTATCAAACCTAGCAGGAAAAGGGAAGAAAGGGAGTTAACTGCATTTAGCTAGGTTTGTCCTGGTGAAAAGTGACTTGGGCTTTCTGAGCCTGTTTTATCTGAACCCATGCTTGTTAAGCAAATTCTGTTGATTAGATGATAACAGGTAAAGGGAAGGGAGGAAGCTTGCTCTGTCCCTTGTTGATCTAGGCAGCTATTGCATCCAGTCTCCTTTACAAAAAACTGTATTTACAGTTGGGTCATTGCTGATTCATAGAGCTTGAAGGATACATTGGCTTCTTTGTTTCAAGAAAACTTGGAAACAAAATGGAAGAAAACAAACAGGTAATGCTTGCTTTTCTTAAACCTGCTTGTATGACTCTCAAGAAGTATCCCTGAGATGGATTGTGAAGTAGTTAAAAGTAAAATTTCATCAAATTTGTCTCCTAGCATTTCTTGGTGTTGGATGGGATCGAACAAGGATATACATAGATAAAATTCCATATTTGTATATGAAGTGAAAAAAGTATCAGTTATTTTAAGTAGCAAAATCTACTTTAAAAATACTCTTAAGTGGTATTTTAGTAGTGTTAATGTGCTTTTGGATCTGCGGCGATTTTGTTCACTAAAGATGCTGAATTGAGGAGGTGTGGGGTGAGGCCTGAGATGCTGCATTTCAAGGAAATCCAGGTAAAGAGGACCAATGGGAACCACATTTGGAGTGTGTGCTGTCCAATAGGTAGCCACATGCTACACGTGGTTACTGAACACTTAAAAATGCCTTATTAAGACTTAAATAAAAAGGAAGTCTTTAGTCAGGACTACCACCACAAGAGCATTGCAGTAGGGGAGAGAGGGTGAAAACCCCCATTTTCAACTGCTGGGGATTTAAAGCCACGAGCAGAAGGGCTGAGCGGATGGAAGAGACCACAAGAGTTTTGGGTTTTAAGCAGAATTTAATAGGATTCTTGATAAGGCAGCTCAGGGGGATCAGATTATTAAGGGGTGGTGGCAAGGAATTTGATCAGATTGTGAGATTAAGGGTGGGGAATTCTCTAAATTGACTTAGTAGGATTCTTGCTAAACTGGCCTAAGCAGGCCCAAGACAGGATGGTGTCCAGGTCAAGGCCTAATCAGAAGACGGCTTAGAGGAGCCTGACTTTAGTTTGGTCAATGAGTCTCAATCTCCTGCCTACCTGTATTCCAGTCTTTGGCAGTTCATTAAAGGTCTCCTGTGGCTAGGAGACTTAGACTTGTTAAATGCATTAGTAGTTTTCCCTTTAGCTGACTCTAAGCTCTCAGAAGCATAAAGCCAGATTATCACTTAATAAAAGATAAAAGACCGTGGAGGGGCGCCTGGGTGGCTCAGTCGTTGAGCGTCTGCCTTCGGCTCAGGTCATGATCCCAGGGTCCTGGGATCGAGCCCCACATCGGGCTCCCCGCTCCGCGGGAAGCCTGCTTCTCCCTCTCCCACTCCCCCTCCTTGTGTTCCCTCTCTCGCTGTGTCTCTCACTGTCGGATAAATAAAAAAAATTAAAAAAAAAAAAAAAAGACCGTGGAGACTTGGATGAACCGTGGAGGAAATGCAGTACCACTGGGTGATTTTTTTTTTTTTTTTTTTTGGACAGAGGTGGTTGAAAGGCCAATGGATTTTACCAAGTAATTGGGAAATGAAGCTGGTTTTTTCTTAATTCTTGAAGTTGCACATGATTTCTGTTTCAGTGCAACAGTATGGATAATTGTGAAGTTCCCAGCAAGAAAGTGATTGCGTTCAAACCACCAGTGTATGAACAGAGATACTACTTTGTTAAAAACTTAGTGAATCGACATGGACTCAGGAAGGTAAGTATCTTTCCAAACACTTAAGACTGTCTTATCAACTGTTTAGTCAAAAAATACAAGAAAAACTTAAGGATTTGGCAAGTAAGCAGAGACCATTTGAAGATGTGTTGCAAGGAAGGAAAGGGATTAGTGCAAATAGGGAGAACATCTGACCATAAGATGTACACGCATCAATAGTTGGGGAAAAGGGGAAAAAGGCTTTTCTCTAGAGTAAACAACTGATGTGTGGGGGAGTGGGATGAAAGTGGTGTGATTGGAGAGTATAATGTGTTAATCTAAGGCTATCCTGTTTTCTAGGAGGGGGCCTTAAAAACAGGCTGCTTCTGTCTTCAGACTGAGGGCAGGGTAAAGTTCAGGGGTCTGTGGGAAGGAGAAGCTTGAGCTAAATTTTGGTTAACAAGAAATTGGGTATACTATGTAAAAAACAGTTTAAAACTTCCTAAGGCTGTAGTTTGCTTTTGGACTAGGTTTTTTAAAGTTTTTATTTTAGAGTGAGAGCACAAGCCGGAGGGGAGAGGCAAAGGGAGAAGCAGACTCCTGGCTGAGCAGGGAGCCTGATGTGGGACTTGATCCCAGGACCCTGGGATCATGACCTGAGCCGAAGGCAGACGCTTAACCAACCGAGCCACCCAGGTGCCCCAGACTAGGTTTTTTTTGAGGCTATGTAACCCTTCCCCCACTGTCCCATAAATATGCCAGCTTCAGAAAGGAAAATTACTGCTCGTGGCTAAGGGTGCAATATTGTGGTAGATTGCAAGGTTTACCTAAAATATTGAAGGTAAAAAAATGAAACACATCTGAGGAAAAATTGGATTGAATATAGGTTGAATGTGCCTATTGCTAGGGTATAGTTATATTTCCTTTTTCCAGAGGGGAATTTTTTTTGGAAGCAACTTAGTAAATGCTATAATTGGTTTTCTGATAGAGTGAATTTTGAGGTAAACTTTAGTCTGTTTCAGATTTAACACTTTGTGCATCTTAGGATAATACGGTATCTTTCATGTTTGAGTATCCCAAAAATAGTTAAAATCTGCAGATACCCCCTTAATTAAGGCTGGATTAGAGCCAGTTAGCTACCCTGGAAGCTGATTTGGGATATCTTTGGGATTGGGGGCCATTAAACTTAAGTCTTAATTTTCTTTTCCTCCTAAAGTGGGAATCAAATTTAGGTGATAGCGGTTAATGAAGACTTTAGTGCATAATTAAGAAATCCACTTAAGAATACATACAAATGTACATTAGGGGATTAGATTAACAACACTGAATATAAATCCCTAAAACATTGGTCAAGATCAGGCACCCTTGTCTTAAGTTAGAAGCCGCTCAGAGGTTCAAAGTTTTGTTTTATAGGGTACCTGCCTACCATGTGGGATTTTCTGGGTGCCAGACCCTGAGGGTGTTCTGGGTGCCAGGTACGCACCTGAATTCCTTTCTTACAGTCCAAACACTTACAGCTTATTTCCTGCCCACTCCTCCCTTAAGTTTCAGATTAATTTCCTTTTTGTGTACTTTTTTTCTACCAAAAAGATCTTGACATAATTATATAGTAATTCTGATAACCACTTACACTCTAAAAGTTTTTGGTCCTATTTGACTTCTGGCAATAATGTCTTCAATGTTCTGTTTCATCCGTAGATTGCAGACTTGGGCTTCGGTGATGCCACACTTTTATGGATGCTGAAATATCACCGCTGTGTTCAGTATCTTGTAGGAGTAGATATTGCTGCCAGACCCTTTGAATGGGGAGGGTAAGACCAAGTTTCTAAAAGTATTGTGCATTAATCTAAAACGAATAGCACTATGAGGAAGTGTCGTTTTATACAGCTTATTTTAAAAGATTGGCACTGAGAGCCTCAAGCTCACTGAATGACTGTGCCATAACATTGTGAATGATACAGTAGTTTTTCCTACCAGCGTAGAAAGTATAGCCTGTTAAATTATAGTAGACAAAGCATTGCAGATTCAATTTTCAATGGCAAAACGCTGGACACCAGGAGAACTCATTAGAAGATCGAAATTGCCCCAGACCTCTTTAATTTAAGCCCGAGCAGCTCTCCAGTCTCATATATATTGACTTGCAGACTTTTTTCAGGACTGTTTTTCTTCTAAAGAAAGTTAATCAGTGATCCAAAGGGAGCTGGAAGACCAAAAGTATTAAATGGCGAGAGCATCGGCAGTATTCAATCTTGTTCTCATTGGCCAGTAATCTATGAGGAAGTTAACCCTATGACCTCGTGCTTACTACCTCAAGTCATGGAAAACTCATTTAGGTAGACACTGATCAGAGGATCAGATCATCAGAATTCTATAGCTGGTGAGATTCTGAATAGATTATAGTGTTAATTTCCCTTCTGTTTTTGCAGGGGTAGGTTGTCTCCAGGAGTGGGGGGTTACATCGTTCCTCGGGAACTAGATTTGACCATAACCTTGTACCGTGGTTCTGCTGTACAAAAAGACTCCCGTTTGTGTGGATTTGACTTGATAACATGTATTGAATTGTAAGTATTAAAACTGATTCTTACTGTATAAATTTATTAGAAAAATCTGAATTAAATCTAGTTAGGACACTCAATTTACTGAGAACTAAGTTGTCATCAAATTTATTTGTAAAGCAGGTTGACAGGATTGACTTTGATTTCAGATTTACAGATGGAGGAGCTGCAAAATAGCACCAGGAATATCCTGTATCCAGACTCACCTATTAAAGTTTTCCTCATTTTTTAAGGATTTTGAGTGCAAGAGACCTCAAGAGCATCAGGAAGAGCATGAGCCGGGGGGAGGGGCAGAGGCAGAGGGAGAAGCAGCCTACCCCCTGAGCAGGGGGCCCGACAGGACACGGGGCTGGATCCCAGGGACCTGAGCTAAAGGTAGACGCTTAACCATGGAGCCCACCCAGGCGCCCCTACTTTTTAAACACAGTATTTTTGAGCAGGGACGCCTGGATGGCTCAGTTAAGCATCTGCCTTCGACTCAGGTCATGATCCCAGGGTCCTGGGATGGAGTCCCATGTTGGGCTCCTTGCTCAGCAGGGAGCCTGCTTCTCCCTCTGCCTCTGCCGCTCCCCCTGCTTGTGCTCATGCGTCCTTTCTCTGACAAATCTTTAAAAATATATTTGAGCACAGGTACATTTCTGTGGAATTTAACACATGTAGTTTAACTTACAGTCAAGGCACAGAACCATTCCATTAACCCCCAAACAAACTCGGGCTGACCCCTTTGTGGCCACACCTTTCTCTCACCCCCAGCCAGCACTCATCCATTTTGCAGCATTGTTTTTGAGAACACTATAAAATTATCTAATTTCTTGGCAGTTTGTTCCTTATTCCTGAGTATTCCTTTGTATGATGTGCCACCTTTTCAAGCATTTAAGGCTATTTGGGTTTCCAGTGTGGAGTTATTATGAATAGAACTGATACCATTCATGGAACAGGTTTTGCATGAACACAAGTTTCATTTAACCCTGGGAGTGGGATTATTGGGTCATATGATTTTTCTGATTCAGATTTTTGCTCTTTTTTCCTCCATTGTCTTAATGCTTATGCATTGATTTTTTTTTCTTCTAATGTGTGAATTTAAAGCAATAAATTTCACTTTAAGTGCATTATAACTCTAATTATACATGTTTTGATGTGTAGTATTTGCACTGATACTGCAAAGAAGCCAAATTGAAGCTCCTGAGTCATTTACCTATGTGTGTTCCTCTTACTGGTCTGAACGGTTATGTTTCCCTCCCATCACCATCCTGCTGAGCTGTAGTGGTTATGGGGAGATATATGTGCACATTTGTCCTAAAAATCATGTCAGTTGTGTCTTTAGAAACTTTTTTCGGGGCGCTTGGGTGGCTCAGTCGTTAAGCGTCTGCCTTCGGCTCAGGTCATGATCCCAGAGTCCTGGGATCGAGCCCCGTGTCGGGCTCCCTGTTCAGTGGGGAGCCTGCTTCTCCCTCTCCCACTCCCCCTGCTTGTGTTCCCTCTCTTGCTCGCTCTCTCTCTGTCAAATAAATAAAAATCTTAAAAAAAACCCAGAACATTTTTCAGGCATATACTCTGTGTCAAATTGCTTCTCCTGTTCCTCTTTAAGGCAAAGATAAAAGTGGATTAGATTAACATATAGCATCAGGATAGAAATGGCTCACTGGGTCTAGTGGACGCCTGTACTGGGGCAGTTGATCTGGTCCTTGGATGTGGGTGAGAATCTACTGGGATCTGATGCTGAAACCCACAACTTTTGTGAGGCATGTGTTCTAGTCTCGTAGCACTGCATGCCTCCTGGGGAGCTTATACTTATGCTCATACTTTTTAGTTACTGATAGCGAGGCCCAGAGAGCCCTGAAAGAGGGGGCAACGTGGTTCAAGGGCAGGGTGAGTATTTAGGAATAGTTGGTTTTAGGTCATGTAAGTACCGTTACAAAGATTCAGAAGGGATAAATGTAGAGATTGTTTTGCTAAATCAACTAGGAAAATAATTGCATTGTCTTTCCCATTGACCATTTCAGGATAGAACACTTAGATTCTGAAGATCTGGCCAAGTTTCCTGAAGTCGTATTTGGGTACTTTTCTCCGGGTATGGTTGTCATCAGCACACCAAACTCTGAATTCAATCCCCTGTTTCCAGCATCAACCTTTAGAGATCCAGATCACAGATTTGAGTGGAACAGAACGCAATTTCAGACGTGGTGAGTTCATAAATGTTTTTGTGAATTTTGTGGTGGGGTTGAGGGGGTGGAGGGAGATTACCCCACAGGAAGTCAATCTTGATACCTGTACATGACTGAAGTTTTTTATCCTAATAAAGTTTCCCAAAATTCAGCTTGGAATTTAATAAAAGGGATCACCATATTTGGGCAAAATAAATGGAAGTTTTTGGTCTCAGGCAGCTAAGCAAAGTGGGGCACCAGGTATCTTCTTTTTTTTTTTTTTTTTTTTAAGATTTTATTTATTTATTTGACAGAGAGAGAGAGAGAGCGAGAGCAGGAACACAAGCAGGGGGAGTGGGAGAGGGAGAAGCAGGCTTCCCGCCGAGCAGGGAGCCCGATGTGGGACTCGATCCCAGGACCCTGGGATCATGACCTGATCTGAAGGCAGACGCTTAACGACTGAGCCACCCAGGCGCCCAGCACCAGGTATCTTCTGATATGATGTCAGGAGTAGGAGTATTGGTGTGGAAATGAAACAAAACAGGAAGGGGGTGTGTGTAGGGCAGTGAGGGTGAGCCTTATGCCGTGGCACAAGTGTTTCTTGACAGATGGACAGATGGTCATGTTTCTGGCATGATTGCAAACCCAAATAGGAGTTTGTAGCCATTGTGGTCTCCTTTCTTATGCCTACACTCTGTGCTCCATAACTTTCCCTTTCTCCATATTTTTGTGATTACCTGGAAACTTGACTCAGGACCCTAAAGCCCTTCAGAAGTAAGCAAACCCTGTGTGGCATTATGTGTTGCTGTAAGAATTTGCAAGTTGGGAAGCATTTTAGCTCATTGTATTTTCTATTGTACTGGAGATTTTTAATTTAACCATACCTTTCAAAAATGCATTTCTTTTGACTTTAGGGCTTTGGATGTGGCAAAACTGTACAATTACTCCGTAGAGTTCACTGGTGTGGGAGATCCACCAGCAGGAGCTGAGCGTGTTGGATACTGTACCCAGATAGGGGTCTTCCAGAAAAACATAGCAAAGGCGACTGAATCGAGCATTTCAGAGCCAGAGGAACACGTTCCAGAGGAACACGTTTATGAAGTTGTGAGTATTCTTTGAGGTAGTGACCAGGGTAAGTAAGAAGCACGTGGGTTAGGATGGTGAACTCTGTAGGGGTCCCCATTGTAGAGATAAATGTAAATGAGCTTAGAATCCTTCATGCCCACAGCTGCCTTCAGGGTTGGTCTATCTACTTAGCCCTGGAGACCACCTGGCCTTTTGCCATGTCTCAAAGCACATTACAGAGAAAGATCAGAAGTCCTGGAAAGCCTCCAAGCTGATGTGCCAGTGACCCCCTATTGTAATTTGTTAGGATCAGCAGCACTTCCTCCATAGCATGGCTCAGGAAATGAGTATTGCAGCTGAACCTCCAAGCTTCTCAGGCCCTTTGGGTTTCAGGAGGTATGGTGAAGAATAAGCACGTTGCCCTCCTAAGCATTTCTCTAATGTCATGTAGGAACATTGAGTTGGTATGAATTGGTGGAAAGCTGGCTTTGATCATTAGAATTTTTTTTTAAAGATTTTAAAAGATTTTATTTATTTGACAGAGAGAGACACAGAGAGAGAGGGAGCACAAGCAGGGGGAGCTGGAGAGGGAGAAGCAGACTTCCCGCTGAGCAGGGAGCCCCATGTGGGGCTCGATCCCAGCACCCTGGGATCATGACCTGAGCCGAAGGCAGACGCTTAATGACTGAGCCACCCAGGCACCCCGATCATTAGAATTTTTAAAGCATATCAGATAGTTAATGACTGTGCTTGTGGCTTGATTCCCATTATATGGCGGCACGCATGGTAGTAGGATTTGATATCTATAGTTAATACACAGTTAATAATGTAAGAAGTTACTAATGAAGTGAAACCTCTTCCAATTTTTCCTTCAGGTTTATACCACCTCATACCCGAGTTTACAGCAAAGCAAATACTTCCGGCTTACTCTGAGTAGTGAGTCGGTCAAAGCAATCGGCTTAATGAAAAGCAGGTTTCTCCGGGGTCTGAGGAAAAGGGAGGGCGATCGAGTGGTACCACTTGGCAGTTGTACCCCACAGTTCGGATTAACAGAAGCTCAAAGGGCCGAAATAGAGCAGTCCCCCAAACCTTACAGTGTGGGAGAGAAGTTCTACGTACCCCTGGAAAGACTCATTATTTATCCGAAGGTGAACCGCTTGGTGGCGGGTAGTATGGAGAAGCTGAGAACAATACTTGCTGAGGGACTTCGACTGAACGGAGATCAAAGTGCGGTGCAGGTGGAGTTGGTTGATTACCAAACACAACGCCTCTTTGATGAGCATTTAATCAGCCCTGTGCTGGAGTCATAAGTTTAGGCAACTTGGTTTTGAATTTCTCTAACCTTGTTTTTCATATGCTTTTTGCAGGGTGGTGGAGAGGGTTCCTAATGCGCTTGTTCATGTTTCTGTTAGACCCAGTTGGATGTGACTTTAAACATTCTTAAAGCAAATTGGACTGTCAAATAAAACCTTTTCCCAGGGAATAAGTTTCAAAAGTTTCTAGGATTCTCTACCTCCTTTGGGCTAAATGCTCACCTGTACTGTAATATTTGCCTAAAACATACAGGAAATAATTGAAGATAAAAGCAGCCTCATTCCTGGCGGCTTACTGGGTGGAATTGGGGTTGTTGTACCAGTTGAGAATGAACAGCTTCACCCTGGGGGGGGAAACTGGTTTAAATGAGAGACCTGAGTATAGAGGTTAGCTGAGACGCTGACCTCTGCCACTAAAGGGACCTATTCACATTCTGCCACTAAAGGGACCTATTCATCTGCCTTCCTGTTCTGATGTACCTCAGGGATGAAGGTGTTTTTGAGTTTGTTACCACTTGAATATTGCAAATCCTATTCCAAGGAGAAAGAGCAAAGAAAGGGACAGGGCATGTGCTAGCTTTCTGGTAAGGTTGGTTCTACACCACTGTTCTGCTCCTTATTGAGCAGATGGAAGGATCACCTTACCACTCGAAAGCTGGGAGTTCTAGTTTCTTCTGAGCTGATGTGTGCCCAGTTCATGTCCTCCCGGGAAGGAACAAGGCGCGAAGGACCGTTGGCCACTTGCCAGTCTGCCACAGCTGTCATAGCCTCACTAACCAGGGGCAGGCTGGCTGTGGGGTGTTGGTGCCTAGGAAAGGCCTCTTGGGGTCATAGTTCTCAAGTTTTTTTTGAAGGGTTAATAAGTAGAAAGTGGATTTGAAGAGGAGGGTGGGGAAAGAAGGGACTCCAGAATAGAATCTGACCACATAATCTCTTGTTAACCAACTGTTCAGTCCCTCCACCCCCGCCTTTCTAGACTGATTTTTCCATCTTGAATGCATAGGACCTGTAAGACATACTCTTGCTACCCTGCCCCCATCCCCCCAACAAAAGGCCCCTGTCTTTCTAGGCTTCTGCATGACTTCTGCATATGGCTTCCTTCTCATCTGTTAGAGCCAAGGTTTCAAGCCCAAGCCCAAGCCCACTTGGCCTGTTGTCCTCCAGGCTAATTGATTACTTTGTTCAAGCTTCATCCCTTCCTGAGAACCTTTTCATATGATAGCTCTGGGTGATGGAGCTACTGTGTTTCCCATGTCTCTGGCGACATCAGGATCTACATCCTTTATTTGTCTTCACCCTCTATTTTGATACAGACCTTTGTACATGGAAAGGTTCATTAATGGTCTAAGCCAGGTGTCAGATGTTCTTGTAGAGATAGTAAATCTTTGCAGCCTTGCCAACCACCGACCTTTCCGGGAATTGAGGTGGAAGAGTGGCCACAGATAAGGTGGATGTGTGTTCCACTAAAGTATAGACTGAAGGCAGCTGTTTTTGTCCACAGTTGGCAGTTTGTTCTAAACAGAAAAGCTATGTACACTTAACCCTTTAGCAGCATGGAAATGGAGACCATTCTAAAAGGACAAAAGCAATTAGAGACTTTATTGTTGTAAACCCAGCCAAAGCTGGGTTTGCTAGGGGAATTTTTAGCTCACTTCTGTGTCTACTGGGAGAAATAACTGCCTGGAGTTTAAGCACTGAGAAGACTGCCGGGCCCAGAGTAATGTTCCTTCTAAGGTAGCTGTGTTAATCGCAGCAGTGTTAGATAAGGGCTCATCCTCTCATCCAGGCAGCTGGTTCTCACAGCAAGGCATGTTGCAGGTCTAGAAAGTGAACAGTCCTTTAAGGTTGGGACCGAACCATCCAATACCTGATTAAGAAAAGTGGCAACCCTAGGGGCGCCTGGGTGGCTGTCGGCTAAGTGTCTGCCTTCAGCTCCGATCATGATCCCGGGGTCTTGGGATGGAGTCCTGCATCAGGCTTTTCCCCCACACCCCCAGCTTGTGCTCTCTCACTCTCAAATTTTAAAATATTTTGAGTAAGAACAGCGGGGAGGGAGAAGCAGACCCCTCACCGAGCAGGGAGCCTGACATGGGGCTCAATCCCAGGACACTGAGATCATGACCTGAGCTGAAGGCAGATGCTTCACCGACTGAGCCACCCAGGTGTCCCAAGTCACTGTCCCTGTTCAACTTGCTCTCTGCTCTCCCTTTACTTCACCTCCCAGTGCATTCCCCAGCTCATGTAAAGCCCCCCCCCCCAGGGGGCAGTGTTGGATGGCCACCTCCCCTTCATCCCTACTTTATTTTCCAGCAGCTTCCTGTGAAAGGGGACATGAGGCAATTTTTTAAAATTTTGAATCATGCTTTGCTATCAGTCGGTTTCTTTTTCCTCCATGCAGGCTGCATATTAGGCCTTCTCTGGGGGAGATGTTTAAAAGAAGCTTCCCTTTGCTTTCCTGTAGGGGAACTCCTGCGTGTGTATGTGTCCCTTATATGTTAGGTAAAACAAATTTCCTGTTATAAAACCAGTGCTAAATCCTGGTTTGAGAAGCCTTAGGGTGCAGAGACTGGTGAGCAGCAGGGAGAAGTTGACAGCTCTGGCTGAAACTTGATATTAAGGTATTTGATGGTGGTTTCTATCTTACCTCTAGTATCCCTCCAAAACCCAAAAGAACAACCCTGCCAATTAAAAACTGTAAACTCGTTTTTCTATAATCTAAAAAAAATTTTAAAAGTAAACTTTAAAAATGAAGACAATTCAGAACTATGTAGACACTAAAGTAAGCTTTATAATCTTTATGCTTTTTCCTTACTACCTGCCCCCGACACCATCTTTGGAAACTCCCTGCTCCTCTTTCAGTGCTTTCTTGAAGAAAGCAGCCCTGCCAACCATTCCTCAGAATTCCAAGGGATTAAAATGTCTATCTTCTGATACCATTTTTTTATTTTTAATTAATTTTATTTATTTATTTATTTATTTGACAGAGAGAGACAGAGCAGGAACACAAGCAGGGGGAGTGGGAGAGGGAGAAGCAGGCTTCCCGCTGAGCAGGGAGCCCGATGTGGGACTCGATCCCAGGACCCTGGGATCACGACCTGAGCCGAAGGCAGACGCTTAATGACTGAGCCACCCAAGCGCCCTATCTTCTGATACCATTTTATATAAATGGTATTGACTTTTTGATGCAGCTTCCTTTATCACTAGCAATGTATTTTATAAATTCATTTCCATCTATTTGCATTCATTTTAATGATCACTTTTTTCTTGGGGCACCTCGGTGGGTCAGTCAGTTAAGCGTCTGCCTTGGGCTCAGGTCATGATCCCAGGGTCCTGGGATCAAGCACCAGATCAGGCTCCCTGCTTAGCAGGGAGCCTGCTTCTCCCTCTCCTTCTGCCCCTCCCCCTTGCTTGTGCGCACTCTCTCAAATAATTTTTTTTAAAAATTAAAGTGATCACTTTTTTCTTAAGTTTATGTTAAAAAATGGTGTCTGACAAAATGTCCCTGCAGTGTTTGTACCCCCTCCCATCTCACTCCTTAGAGACAACAAAGGTTCTTAGGTTCACAATAACTGGAATTACAAGTAGATTCCAGTTTTACAAGAACCAGTGCTTTTTTCAGGGGGTGGATTGTTCCTCTAGGAAAACCCTCGGAATGCAGGGTTTGTAAATAAAGGCCTCAACTTTTAAGATGTCTTTGCTCCAAGGAATTTCACTGCACTGAATGGTAATGAAAAGTGTGGTTGCGTAGGAGAGGCAGTTCTTAAGAGGGAAAAATAGGGCCATAGCCCACCTCCAAGAGTAGGTGTGGAATGTGTGTTACCAGGTATTAGAACACCCCCGGCCCTTGATCTGAATAAAAGTTTGCCTCCAACTGTTTCCATGGTCTGGAAGCTTCAAGTCCTCACAGCACCGTGGCTTCAAGTTTAGTTTCCATGCCCTGGAGACGGCAGTGACTCTTCACAGCTCCTCCCAACCCTTCCTCCTCTGCTCAACTCTAGTCTCCTCATGCACGTCACACCCTGCGGTTGAGCTCTCAGAGGTACTGCTCTCCACCCCGGGGGCTCAGTTCTGTCGCTGAGTATCAAGGAGTAATTCCAAGTGAAATTCCCTCTGCTAGATGCCAACAGAAGCACCTTGTTACGCAGGGTCCTGTGTTTGTTTAGCTGCTGACAGGGGGTCAGGGAGGAGCGGCCTGCGAGGTGGAATCTCGAGCCGTACCTTCAAGGATGCCAGGTGGTTTAACCACGGCTAACAGGCTTGCTCTCGGTACAGGATGCCCATCTTCCAGGGCTATCCCGCAACAGGGAACACACAGGGGTTTTCCCGAGGTCTTGCAAAACAAGCTGGTGGGAGCCAGAGGTCAGAAATTTGATTGGGAGATGTTTCACCTCTTTTGCAACTAGTATTTGAAGACCACGGCATGCCAGGCTTCTTATACAAATCGTTTGGGAGCCACCCATCAACGCTCGGCCCTTTGCGTGCCGGTCACGTTTTGGGGACTCTTCGCCTGCACTGTTGCCTTCATCTCCTTTTCATCCTCATGGGACTATGGCTGGAATTAGTCAGATTAAGCTCTGGGCATTTTATGGTCTTTCCCAGAAACGTCACATTGCTCCCTACTCCTGTGCCTTAGCCTTAGCCTTGACCCAGTCAGATTCTTTGCATTTGTTGAAGAGGCTCTGATACTCTACTGCGATCTTTGTCTAGCCTCATCCCTCTGGAAGCCATTTATCATGCTGACCACCCCGTCCGTTCTAGTAGGAATCCTCACAGAACAGAGCTGACAATCTTTTATTAATTCCACATTAAAGGAAAGCAATTTACTTAAGTAGGGTAAAAGTCTCTGATGCTTCCAAATCTTTTTTTGCGAGTATTTCAAATTATGTACAATTAGTATTGAACAGAGGCACCAGGCAGGCTCAGTCATTAGAGCATGTGACTCGATCTGGGGGTTGTAAGTTCAAGCCCCATGTTCGGCAGAGAGTTTACTTAAAAAA